CCGTTTGAATGTTTCAGAAGTCAGCGCGCCGTGTTTATTGCGCTTCAACCTATTCCTCTTGCCGCAATAAGTTACCGCGCGGTAATGCGGCCAAAGCTTAAGTTTAAACACTATGTTAATTGTATTGTTCTGGGCGCCGCGGCGCGCAAAACGACAGTAGCGTGAACGCCCCACCTGCCTTGCCTTCACCATGCCGAACCATTATGCCGCGAATCAACTGTATTCTGAATTCGTTGTTATTGTTCCACAGTGTGTACAGAGAGATGCGCTTATATGTCGCGCTTGGTTTCTCTCTCTTTCTCTCTCTCTCACTCTCCTTCTCTGTCTATCCGGCGCAAAACGGTATGGCATATAAATTATTGTCCACGCGAAACTCACTCAGAAATCTGTGTGATACTGTCTGAGACGGGAGACAATGGTAGCACGATTCTCCAATTATAAGTAGCTTAAGCTCAGGAACAGAAGTTCCCGGTTTCCGTTTGACTATTCAACTGTCTGCTCGACGGAAACAATCCGTGTACCTGTTTTCAGTATTTTTTTCTCTCTCTCTCTCTCGAGAGAGAGAGAGAGAAAGAGAGTATAGCGGAGCGCGACTGTGGAAAACCGTCGATACGTCAAATCAACTCGAAACGCGCCGCGTCGCTTTTTTTTTTTTTTTTTATTCCACCCCCTTACCGGAGACACCGAGGGCGTCTCGACGCCGGTAAACTCAATCAAGAGATTCCATTTGCATTTCTGCGCCGACGTGCAGAAGACTATATTTTCTTCCCCGCCGTGGCGTGGCGGCTCTTTTTCTTATCTGACACGATGTTTTCGCTGCACAGCTGTCCGCGTCCTTCACGCCTCCCCCAACTCTCGCGCTGCGAAATTTCACCGCGGGAACCTTGCGAGGTTCGCAAAGATTCAGACCCCGTCACTGAAATGAGCAGTCGTTCTAAATGTAATATTCAACTTATCTATGCGAATTTAAATGTGCTACGAGACGCGCTCGTAGAAATATATCGGGAACGTGATCTATCGGTCGAGAAAGATCACGTATTTTCTCAGGAAAAATAAATCGGTTCTCCCGAGAGAGGATATTATTGCCATAAGGTGTGCGTTATTGCGTCAGATCTGTAACTTTGCAGGAAAGTTGTGCGAGACTGAGACGTAAACAAAACTGCAACTAAGTGCATCTCGCCGCGCGTAAATCGAGGAAACTCTCATATCGCGAGTGCATCGAAATAATCAAAAGATATTATACACCGTACACATGTGTCCGGTATTGCGATACAGAGTTTTAATATCTTAAAAGATTTAATAATAATTAAAAAAAAAACAAGTTAAATAAAAAACATCAAACAGAAAAGATCTGTACAGAACACGAATCAGTTAACCACCGGTATCACGTCGTTGATCGATGAATTACTTTGCGTCTCGAGCGTTTAACGCGCATATGGTAGACGGTGGATTACGTCGCGGCGTTTTCTAGAGGTTGTACGTGCAGACGATGCCAGACGCACGTGCACGCGAAGTCTGAATATAATCACTATCCATAAATCATTCGATTTTCCCAAATCCCCGCGGGAAGACGGGGCGAGTGCTGCCGGCTCCATCGCTCGCGAGAAAATCGAGAGACGCCGCGCCGTCGATCCTATCCCTATAGACTCATCTCACCTTGTCGCGGGCTCTCTTTCTCTCTCACTCACTCACTCAGTTTCTTTACCGTTATCTCCGCTCCGCTCCGAAGACATTTCTACGACATTAAGCAGACGTATCGACACCGCCGCGGCGAGCGTCGCATGTGAGATACGACCGGATATCCGGCCGATCCCGCGACGGTATCCTCTGTGTTCCTCCCCCCATCCTCGTGTTTTCGCCTTCCTCTGCGTTTCCTCGCGGCGACTCTCTCCTCTCGTTCGAGGCGGTTGTCTGCAAACTTTGATTACATCTGCCCGGTAGCCCCTATCCCACTCTTTCCGCGCCTTCTCTCATCCCGCTTAAGTGAGATATAGACACGTACCACCGGGTTTCTTATTCCTGGACGTTGCCTATAGCCAAAGCCCTCCCCAGCTCTCTGCCTCCCACTGTTTCTTGAGATTCTCGCCATCACGTTCGTCGTTCCATCAGATTTACCGTCGTCGAGGTTACACACTCTATGCTCCTACATCGCGCATCTTCTTCTGTCCCCCTCGCACGCGCCACGGCTTCGCGAAACGCCATGGAAACGTATTTACCGGGATGTCCCGGTGACGCGAGATGTAATTTCGTTAGCCGCTACGTGATTCGACTGGCAAAAGTGCGAAAATGAAAATTGCGCCTTCCAGAATCCCATTGGATTTCCGCGATGGTTCGCGCGTCGAATTGTGACGATCGAATCGAATCAACAACGTAATACACAGCCGAATCGCAACGATCGCATTATTTATATAAATTGTATTGGCGGTCGATCGATCTTTGCCTGTGACATCGCTAAACTGTTTGCAACTACTGGTGGATTACGTTAATTTCGAGTGACTTTTACTTTAATGTAAATAGTCGTTTGTTTTATTTTACTTGGCGCAAAGTCGCGCAAATTAGCCTCCGACTTCCTGTTTCCTGACTGACACCCGGCAAACGTCGAGGAAAGAAACTTTCTTTCCGAAAGGACTTAAGAACGCGGGAAGGGAGGGATATTTACAGAACAAACGCAACGAATATCGGCATATTGCGAAGTTTTGTGTCGTCGTCGTCGTCGTCGTCGTCGTTCGTAACGACGACGAATTACAAACTGTCGCTTCGGGCGGTCTCGCTTCAAACGCTTTCTCTCTGTCTACAGTTCGTCGGGCAAAGGTTTCCCCATACAAGATACGATTACCCGAACGATCGTCGGTTATTACTTTCCAAGAAGATGCCGCGCTATTTTAATTGAGCGTAACACCGCGCATAAGAGACGCCGGGGTCTCCGGGAAAGGCTGCATTAGAGTTCCTGGAAGCGCAAATCCGTCGTGTAAACGGCACACGCCAAGTTTCTGTCTCATTCTGCGAGCTGGTGGTTGGTTCATGAACCGCGATATTTCGCCATAGAGGATGTCGCCGACGACTTTGAATGATAGCAGTAATAACGAGTAAGAGTCCCGGCGCGGTCTGAACCTCTGTGTGTGTGTGTTGCGCGCGCGTTCGCATCCACTCTTATTATTACAGGAAATAATTTGAAAGACGTAAATAATATGAAGTGGATTCTCATTTTAGAGCGATAAGTCTTCGGATGGTTTAGTTGGAAGAAATATTAGCGGCGAACCAAAATATATTTCACTTTCGAAGATTGAAATCTCAAGGATCTTAAGTGAAAATTTCTTTTCTTTCTTTGTCTTTTTTTTTTTTCAATATAAAAAGCGGAAAAGATCGTGTGACATAACTGACCGTTTATTCTTCCGTCGATGACATTGTTTGCGCGTCATAACGACGTTCTCATCACAAAAGAACCATGGGAAAGTAGTGACAACGATAACAGGAAAAGTGACATCGTTCGTTAGGCAGCTCCTAAAGCTTCTCGTTAGACGTTGGGTTAGCCGTCACCGTTTTATCCCGTCGAGAAATTAATCGAATCGCCGATAAAGTGGATTATGCGTCGAGGTTCGATGGGCCTCGATTCTATAATGCGATTGGCCATGCTCTCCTCCCGCGGGAGATATTTTCAGCCTCCTTCAAGTATAATGATTCGTAATTAGATATTACCTGCAACGTATTAAGGAGGGCGCTTAATATCTTAATAAAGTTAGTTGGAAGTACTCGTAGTCATTATCTTCCCCTTCTCTAGGCGTGTTATAATTAACTAAACTCCTCGCGAGACTTTGATTCAACAGGAGAGGATTTTTTGTCATTTACTAAATTTGATTTTGTTTTTTCGCGAAATATATCTCTGCGACGATCTTTCTGAACTATAAAATCAATGTCGCGTCATTCGACATGTAGTTTTATTTAAAAAGATGTAGTTTTGTACTTCAAAAAAATGTAACTGAAGAAGAAAAATCATTTATTAAATAAAAACAAGACAATAAGATACAAGAGGCGATTGAGAAGTATCCGAAACAACGCGTGGATAGCAAACATTTCGTTTCGGATATTTATCAATCGTGTACTTAAAATTCACATGAAAAGTATAGAGAAGTCACATATAATCACGTATATTCAATAGCAATATATATATATACTTTTTTTCTCTCTATTCGCGTATTCGCGCGCGCGTCCGTAATAAAGGAGAAAATTTGCGACTATAGAAAGAAACAAATTGAAAAGAATCACGTTTCATCGTAAAAAAAGCCGCGTACGGGGATCAAATCCCCAGGTGTGGGATCCCAGGAGAGTATATCTCTCCGTCATTTTGTCGTCGGTAGAGAATTACACGTCAGTGGACGAAAACGAGGGAATAATTTACGTTCGGTCGTCGGACGCGCGGCGAAATCCGCGCCGACAAGAGAGAAAACGCTCGTAGGCTGACTTTGTTACTACGCTCTTAGCCCGAGCTTTTTGTCAGGTAAAAAGTTTTCCTCGGGAAAAGGAACCAATTTAATAAGGCCTTAATAACTTCCCCAAGGGAGGCAGACGCGCTCGGCGTACGGCTGTGTTTGACGGCTACTTCACGGTCTTCACCTTTTTTCGACGTGAAGAGTAAATTCACGCTTCCTCGTAACGGAGTGGTATAACCCTTTATTGGCAAGAGCAGCGATACCACGCGTACTCGTCGTCATTCTCTCTCCCTCTCTCTCTCTCTCTCTCTCTCTCTTTTGTTCTTTCTTTCTTTCTTCCGCTTGGTGCGATTGTTCAGCTTTTATTCCGCGCCAAGGGTGGATGTGAAACTAGTTTACCGAATCGATAGAAAGAGAGAAAGAATTCTATGTCAAACAGTTTTATAAGAGAGTGAGAATTGCTCTGCATTATGTCTCTCTCAGAACTTTGACAGCGCGCGCAATTCGATTTGCGCGTATGTTTGCTAAAACTCAAATTATTTACATTGAATGTTTGTTTTTTATTTGTTACAGAGATCTTCAAGGAAATAATATATCGGTGGTATTTAAAACGGACTTCGAGGACATGGCAACGCTCCACGTTTTGTGAGTATTATCGTCAAGTGGATAATAAATAAATAACACTACTGTTTTTATCACGAGATAGTGAATTTTTTTTTATTGAGAAAGTATTTCCTGTGCGCGCAGATTGCTATCTAATAATCAAATACACACCATCGAAAGAGGAGCTTTTCAAGATCTGGTGGCGGTTGAGAAGCTGCGTTTAAATAACAATCAAATACGTCATCTACCCGACCTCCTTTTCAGCAACATGATGAATTTAAAACGCCTGTGAGTATATTATATAATTAATCTGATATATTGTACATATATACATATACATATATATATATATATATATATATCACGCAATATGTATATTACAATTTACGTCGATATAAATAAGAAAACGCGCAAATTTATTACACTTCGACAACCGGACTTTGCGTTTCGTTACACACGCCGTGTAATTACAGATAAATATCTTCCGACATTCATGATCATTAACGTTAGGGCATTAGCGTACCCGCTAACAGGCTTGACACGCCGATATTGCGGATTTGCAATATTTCATCACGGGCGCGAGATATTGACGAGCGGATTGCGCGCAACAGAAACAGAATTTGTTAAGAATCGCGAGCGTATTATATGCCGCAGGATTTATGCGATCTGTCAGTAGTACGCGCGGTAACGGCGTTACGTATATACTACATAACGCACGGATAAGTGGCGCGGCACGGCGCGTTGCGAGATAAACGTTGCGATGTTGCAACTTGCGAGTCTTGGGCGTCACGAAAGTTCGCAATGTCGTAGCAACATCCGCGCGCGCGCTCGCATCAGATGTATACGTGTATCTCGCGCGCGGATTCCGCGATATCTCGGAGGAATAATTACACGTGAAGAGATCAGTCCGCGCGTCAGGTTCCGTCCGCGTGGTGGAGGCGCAATAATAATACACGCACGTAGTATGTATGTATCGCTTGCGTCTCTAGTTCCTCTGTTTTCTCGCTTTTCTCTCTTTCTCTCTCTCTCTCTCTCTCTCTCTCTCTCTCTCTCTCGTCTCGTCATTGTGTTTAAGCGCGCGACGACGGGAGTTATCGCATAAACTTTTCAGACGACGGCCTACATACCTGTCGTGTGTGTATGTACGTACGTATGTACGTACGTACTTTATGCGAGAGGCAACGGCACAAGCCGGGGCTTGTGAAACCCGCCGCGTGAGACTCCTCGATCGAATGTACGCGCGGCTGCATACGCGACTTTTCACCCCGGGGGTTTTAGCTTCTTAAAGGCGATCGTTCGATATGCCGGCGTGCGCGCCGGCGTCGACGTTCATCGCCGACGTTCACCAACAACGCGCTCGCATTTCGCTTCTTGCACGCGACGCCGCGCCGCTCCGCGCGCGCGCACACACACACACAAAGTGTTTTCTATCTTCCGTGACCGACCGCTTGAATAGTGAGCGCGCTATCGTTTACCCGACTGTCTTATTAGCAAGACCTGATTCGGTAACGAGAGAGCGAAAGAGAGAGCGAAATGAATAGGTGGAATAATCTACGAGATTTTAGACATTCGCCCCCGTACAAAGATTGATGAAGTCATTATGTCGAAGTGATACGATCAATGCCGCGCGTGTTATATTTCCGACTCCTTAATGAAACGTAGTTAGTCAGAACTCGTTACATTTTAAACGGCATAGTTACATTTTTTTTCACTTCTGAATATCAAGAGAAATATAGTTGGTGTTCGAAAAAATTACCGCATGTTAATTGAGGCGCGTCTAATTTACTACGTGTCACAATTTGATGGAGATATTCTCGTGGTGTGATCTCTGAGGAACGATAGCACACTGAAGGAGTTCGGTCGTTACGCATTCACAAATTATGCTCGTTCATAAGCTACGCTCCGTCGTCGTGAACAAACCGTTCTAGCAGAACTGGTCCTCTCTCCGACATAGGGTTCGTCTCTCGCTAACGAGAAGAACCACTTTGACGTCATGAGAAATACCGATCCCGTGATTACGCCGTCCCGTCCTCCGTTGCTTTTCCTCCTAACACGCACCGTCCGGTAACATTCTTTCTCGATCCGGAATCTCAATCGAAATGCGGCACGACGCGCTACCTTCTCGGTAGAGAAAAACAAAGTAGAGAGAGAAAGACAGGGACTCGGTCCGAACGAAGCGATATCGCGCGTTTATCGCGATCGAGCGAGGCACGAACCGTTTCCGTTTGGTGGTTCCTGGTTGTTCCTCGGCAGCTGCCAGCTGCGGTCGAAAAGTGCATGCGAGTCTCCTTCTCCCGCGTCTTCGTGGATGACAGGAACGTCGGGCTGGTCCGAAGAGAAAGAGAGTCGAGACAGACAGAGAGAGAGAGAAAGAGAGAGAAAAGGAAAAAAGAGGGACAAGAGGAGAGACGGGCAAAAAACGAGAAAAAAAAGAGACGAAAAAGAGTGTAGAAGGAGGTGGAGATCGTCCATCTATCATCCTGCAAAGTGGGCAAGATGGACGGGACTCGAAACTTCCCGTCTCGAAGCTGCGCTCCGCTCGGGCATAACCTGCAGTTTCTGACGATAAGGCCGGATCAGCCACCTTACAAAAGGACGTATTATGTTGCAACCTTACGGCGAGATTCTCACGGGCGTTCGGATGCCCGATAATCCTTCATCCGGCGCGGATGTGAACCGGCGTTAAAATCGTGAAGTGGAAGATGCTAATTCGCGCGCTCGCTCGCTCGCCGCCGCCGCCGCCGCCGCCGCCGTCCCGCTATTCAGAAACTCTCGCAAACTCGTAGTTCGCAGCTTTCCCCGTAGCTTCTCCTTATCTTCTTTCTTTTTGAAGAAGATATTTCTCTAATTTATAATTAAATCGGGGCTTTGCATTTCTTTTTTCTTTTTGTTTTTTTTTTTTTATAAAACTCTTGCGCTAATCTCCTTTCTCTTTTGTGATAATTCTTTTGTAAAAACTCGCAGATGTGAAAAGGAAACAAAGTTACGTAGACGAGACTATTTTCGTACATATTTTTTTGTCGGTAAAAAGATTTGAATATATATAATAATACGCCCAATATAAAAAAAAAAAAAAAAAAAAAAAAAAAAAAAAAAAAAAAAAAAAAAAAAAAAAAAATAACGACATCTTGAACGCACGTAATTTAAAAAACTAACGACCTAACCAATAAAACAGAATCGCGGAGTTGATAATTGAGCGATAAGTGAGCAAGACCAATTAATTAAGTTCTCCTTAAATCGCGGCGGACAAAAGCGCAGCGCGGCGGAACTTAATTATGCGCTCGTCTCGTAAATTCGACGCGGTGCAGTGTGGGCAGGTCACGGCGAACACGTAACATGTGATTAAACCATCGCTCGCGCAAACACAGAAAGGTATACGAGAAGAGAAGAGGGGGGGGGGAGTATTCCAGGTGGTAAGAGGATGAAACCCACGTGAGGGAGGTAATAAATGGTTTGACACAATGGAAAGGGGCGCGGACACTCCGTTGATTAGTATCACTCCGCTGTAACGGCCTGTATTGCGGGCGCTTGTAACGCGATACGCGCGCGCGAGAACGACGACGCGCGCAAGCTTGTATTTTACGACGCTGCAACATTTGTCCGCTGTACGCTTTAAGCTGATAATAACCAGGACAAACGCCCGCCGAACCGAACCCGTGGCGGTGCGGTCGCGGCGAATGATTTAGAGGACAAAATTCGAGACTCCCAAGTAGAAGAGAGAGAGAGGAGAGAGAGAGAGAGAGAGAGAGAGAGGCCACGACGAGGTGGCTTTCGACGTCGACAAATTATAGGCCCGTCATACAAGGAGCCGGTTGCGTTGCGCGCAACCTCGGTTTATCGCCCCGGCTGTAATAATTATCGCGTACAGTTGTTATCGTGTACCACGACGATCGTAATACGCTGTATTATACAACCTTCACGACCCCTGCCGGTAAATCCCTCTCGGCCTGACGTATGGTGTTACATCACACCGGCGAGAGAGAGAGAGAGAGAGAGAGAGAGAGAGAGAGAGAGAGAGAGAAGAGAGAGAGAGGGAGAGTTCGGTGACCGCGTTAACAATAATATAATTTGATATTTCGTACGTACACATCGTCGTGGATGCTTCCGGTCTCCCGTTTCTCAAGATTTTCCTCCGCACTCCTCGCGTTCTGTTTCTCGGAGGAGATTAATTTTGAAGCAATCTTATAAATCATAGAGACGAGAATATATACGAGTCGGAGAGTGTCTGCGTTCTCGCGAAGGCGCATAAAGTTTTCAAACAACCGCAGTTTTCCAACTCGCATCTCGCAAGCTATGCTAAGCGGGAAAATGCGGAGAATCCCGGGCGTAGGAGCGTCGTTGTGGAAACTATTAAAACCAGTTTACCGCGTGTATATACGCGTAGAGAGTGGAGATACGTAGTTACGAATGTTTCTGCGTAACATTCTAAGCCGTTGCGTCCGAAGAATGCGTTGGTCGACCTCGGGGAGAGGGAGATTGCAATCCTCCGGCGCCGACCTCTCAAAGTTTCACAATCCTCCTCGTGCGGTTATGCCGTTGTTGTAGGACAGGAAAAAGATTGTAAGGCGCGCGTGTGAATTTTCTGTCAAAGGGAGGCCAATATACACTGAGAGATCCGTCGAATATCTCGTTTTCCCGTCCCGTTCTTATCGCGGTAACGCAGGTTAGCCTGACGCCGGGCGCTCGCAGCATGCGGAATTGGATGGACCCCGGGTTCTCTTTTGTTAGTTCCGCGCGGACGAGGCCACATCGAAATTCGGTAATTGCTTTCTGGATTAGCTCGAGCGAGCTGGGAGTTACCAAGTCCCTCGTCTTACGTACCTCGATCCGAGGTAGAGCAACATAAAGCAGGAGAGCAAGCGTCCGGTATGCTCTTTCTCCCCGGGCTGCTTATTGTCGCAGCTCATTATCGTCGTCTATTCTCTGAGCTTTGAGAATGCGCTTTATACGTTGAAGTGAATTCATTTCGACTGTTTCTTGTTCTCATCAACGTCGAACACCTAGTTAAATGTTTTGTTCTAGTTAGCAATTCTTTGTCGCACTAATTCTGCAAATGCATAAAATAACACACCACATCTTGTTATTTTATTTAAAGCCTCTCTCTCTCTCTCTCTCTCTCTCTCTCTCTCTCTTTCACCTACGTAATAGCGATTTGTTCATTTTCTTAACCAATCGCTCGAGATTGTGAGAACGAGATTACGCAAGAGAAAACCAAGGCTTTAAGAATGTTTCCTTTTGTTAAATCAGCATGAACACTTGGAAATTCGGCGAGAGATTGCCTTTCGCGATTGGATCGAGCGCACTGGGAATTTAATATCCTAAGTTTTCTGTACATCGCGAAAGTTACGTGTATATTCCAATTCCAACTTTTTTTTTTCCGCTCTCATTTTTTTCCCTTATTATTCTTGCATTTTTTCCGATTTATCAAGTGCGCATGTTGTGCACGTGCAACACGCGGTATATATTTTCTCCTCATTAACGCGCGTATCTCATATTTTCGCGTTCATTGAAATACTTTTCTGCGCGTCGCGATGTCAGTCTCGCGGACGGGAAATGTCGGGCGTATGGTATAGTTTTCGAGATCAATATAATCGATAGTTATAAAACCGTTTTTTAATTCGTTCCGTAGTTTTGCGCGCGCGTAGCACTCTGGAGAGACGAACTTTTATTGCGCGACGTGTGACAAACGTTTATTCGATGGCACGATCAAACTCTGTAGGGACAATAATATTTCGCGCCGGCCAACTCGAACGCGAATGACGCGCGGAGGCGAGTTCCCTTTGTGCGTTCGGTGCAGACGCGACCGCGCGTCGAAATTCGGTAATTACTTTCTGGATTGGCTCGAGCGAACTGGGAGTTCAATCTCCCAGCCTCTCGCGCTCTCGCCTTATGTTTCTCGTTTTTCTCTCTTTCTCTCCCTCCCTCGTTTTTCTCTCTCGCTCCGTTCGTCGTTTCGCGTAATTTTTTTTTTTTTTTTCTTCTTTTCTTCCTCTCTCGTCCGCCGATTCCCCCCTCGCGCCTTCTCGCGAACATAATTACAGATTGCGAGTTCCAAGCCAATGGATGGTCAATGGCGAGCCGAGACCACTAACCTATCATCACAAGCCTCTGGTTACTCCGAACCTCGGAGAAGAGGTTTCGAGGTTCTACAGATATATCCGTGCGGTTTTCGAGGACGCGGAGACGTCTCTCTAAATTAATCTTAAAAAGACAATTTAATTATATTTGCTCGTTCTTATTTACGATTTTATTATTTTAACATAATTATACAGATTTTTACGAAGAATTATTTAATTATATTAATTTGAGAGAGAAATGTAATGTGATTAAAAAAGTTTCTGTAGTCTTTTTCTTAAGAAGAGAAAAGAAAAACGATCGATGTTCCACATGTGGCGAAGGTCTCTTCGCTAGTTTCTTGCGCGGGTTGACTTTGAAGTAATTCGAAACTAGCTTTCGATCTTCATACGACTACGAGAGTACATGAAGACGTTCATAAAGCTGCCCGGCTGTCGCTCGCGAGACCGTGGAAATGGTCACTCGTTACACGGGTAACGATCCCGGAGCACGATGAGAAGTAGTTGCAAAAGCCTATAACCCATTCACGTGACGGTCTCTCCGTGGTGCACGTGTGACCGGTCACACGCACGAGCGGCGGCAACTTTCCGAGGGGGGTAATCACGCGCGCGCACACCAGCGCGCGGAGGCACTTGCTGCGGCATTCGACGCTCTTGAATAATTGATCGAAAATGTAGGACGAACTCGCGACGGCTGCAATAAAGTGGAACGACAGGGTGTTGTACCGATAATGGCGAACGTGGCCATCCGCCTTCGAGAACATAAAGGCCGAGAGGTCAATGGACACTCGCGAGTTAACGCGACTCCGGCAAACGTGACACTGATGGATTTTGGTAGTTTTTTTATGCGCACACGTTCAAAACAAGCGCGCTGGTTGAAAACACGCGGTGTGGGAAATTGGAGCAGAGAACGGTTATTGAGAAAGAGAGTTGAATATATTTGGAAAATTGGATTTGATTTTTTTTTCTTTTTTTTTTTTTTTAAATAACAAGTGTGCGCAATTTATAAAAAGAATTAATAAATACTGAATCATAATAAATACTTATCATAACGCCGGCTTTCTCTTTTTAACGATTTGAAAAATACGTTAAAATAATACGGAAATAACAACGGCTCTCTTTGTTTATTATTGGTGTTCGTTTAATAAAATGTGAACATACGAATTTCATTGACGTGACGCACAAGTTCGATTGATAAACCGCAATCATTTTGAAAAACTCTTTTTGTATATTGCAGAGATCTCAGTCACAATCAAATTGCAACCATAGGACCGAAGACTCTCAGAGGAGTGTCTGCTCTCAGACATTTGTAAGTATCTTATCGGATGTACTTGCCACAAAGACGGATCGTTCGGTAACAATCTCTCTCGAAGCTATTCAGTCACAGTCATTATAAGCTACGCTCAAGATGTTTTACGTATGACAACTTTGTTCGCATCACAGCTAATGCTTTCAGACGAACGAAAATTACAATTGCTGAAACAAACACTATATACATACAATTTGTTTTGACAGTTTAAAATAAAAATTTTGTCGTTGTTTCTTCCACAGATTACTCGACAACAACGTGCTGACTTGCGTGGATGAGGCTTCGATGCGCGAATTGAAGGATTTGGAGATATTGTAAGTGCAAAATCGAAAAATGTTCAAGATTATTCGAATCATAGATTTCGCATTCAAAATAATATTTCGAACTTTGAGAGAACATTTCGGTCTGTTAAATTCGTTCACAGAATGCTAAACAACAACAAGCTGGTAACGCTCGGCAAGGAGATGCTGAACGGCTTGACGCATTTGCGAACTTTGAAGCTCGCGGATAACGCTCTCGCTTGCGATTGCCATTTAGCATGGTTATCGCGTCATTTGAGGACTTATCCTCGCCTGGGGCAACACACACGGTGCGCATCTCCGGCTCCTCTCAAGGATCGCAATCTCGTCGATCTACAGGTGAGTCTGATCGAAGAATCACGCGTTATCGTAGAAACATAGCCAGTTTCAAATCCGCGAGAACACGCGTTTCGTGTGAAAATTACACAAACATCACATGTGTTTTCGTAGTTTTTATATTTTACTAAATATATATATCTATTTAAACATGTGTGTGTACGTGTGTATTTCTGTAATTTAATAATTCTAATAATAAAAAAGTAATAAAATTCTGTAATAATACTTCAATTATTATTCGTACGCGGTATGAAAAAAAAAACAAAACGTTTCAACAGTCGTTCGTTTTATCGATTTTGTTCCTCGCTAATCTACTCTCCGTGTGCTGCTGATACTACCTTCAAACCTATTGTTTGCAGGAGCACGAGTTCAAGTGCTCGGGTCTGGTCGAGCGAACGGGATCGGAATGCAGCGCTGAGCCCCAGTGCCCGCATCCTTGCAAATGTGCTGATGGGATCGTCGATTGCAGAGAGAACTCCTTGACGAAAGTGCCAACCCACCTACCCGAAGACACCACCGAGCTGTGAGTATAAAACCTGCCGCGTGCTACATCTGCCCATTATGTTATATACCCTTTGCTCTTTCATCGAGATTTATTCCTCCCTCTCTCGTTCGAGTTTTATCGATAAATGCGCGGATTAGCTGGGGCAATATGATAATTTATAATTTATTTTCATGACGCGTGTAGAAAGTAGAGGAGTAACGAAGCGTGGAATATAATTCGAATAAGCCGATCGATAAAATCGTTCATTTTATGAAGCGCTACTAACATACGTTTGCAAATTTGTTTATTCTTGTAATTCGTTTTTTCCTCGATTTCTCACAGGCGACTGGAACAGAACGGCATCACAGAAATTCCACCCAAGGCCTTCTCGCCGTACAGAAAATTGCGAAGAATGTGAGTAACTGCTCTTACATACACACACACATATAAACATATATACGTAGTAGTACACCATGACTGTTACCGCACGAAACGCTTAATACTTTTATGTTTCCGGTTTTCCGCTCGCAGTGATCTCAGCAACAATCAGATAAAAAAAGTAGCAGCAGACGCTTTCCACGGATTGAAATCTCTCGAATCACTGTACGTATCCTCTTTCTCTCGATTGCAACTCGTTTCTCGTAACTTTATATATATATATATATAAATTAAAATGCGTTTTGTGTTGCACAGAGTTCTATACGGCAACAAAATCACGGAGCTACCGGCCGGTCTCTTTCAGGGCTTGACAAATTTGCAATTGCTGTGAGTAAATAATTACAAACTTGTGATACTGATCGAATCTGACAGCTCGTTTCGTTCGCTGCTTTGTTGTTGCATGACGCGAAGTTGAACTTTTGAAGGAGGCGAGAATTAATAATTCATATCATATAATCACTAGGAAAAAAATGTTTTTATTCATATCTTACGTATTGTTCTCGCTTTCCCAGCCCAGGTATATCGCAACGAGGGCAACTCCTGGAAATTATGTCGAAACTTTTATTGTTTCAGGTTGCTGAATGCCAATGAGATATCATGCATACGAACCGATTTGTTCAAGGATCTAACCAGTCTCACCTTGCTATCTCTTTACGACAACAATATACGCTCATTAGCTAATGGGACTTTTGCCAACCTGCGAAGCATTAAAACGCTGTTCGTATTATTCGAAAGTTTCTGCGAACGCATTTTTGTAATTTACGAGAGAGTTTAGAAATTTTGGGGTTTTTTTTTTTAACGAAGAGGAGTTGTTGTGTTTTCTCGAAATAATTAATCAAGGAAATGTGTTTCTCTTGGTTAATTATACGAGAAAATGTGTGCGATAATATGACCTTTCTTTTCGCAGACATCTGGCGAGGAATCCGTTCATCTGCGATTGCAACCTGCGCTGGCTGAGCGCGTATCTTCACGCGCACCCTATCGAGACATCCGGCGCTAAGTGCGAAACGCCAAAGAGAGCGCAGAAACGGAAGATCGATTCGATGCGGGACGACAAGTTCAAATGTAAGGGTAAGCACGATTCGACTTTTTTCCGGTATATCTCTTCTTGACACTTCGGCAGGGATAGCGTGTACGCAGGTCGGTAGTTAGCGAAGGAAAGGTATATTTGCACGATGAATGTGTATAAATTGGCCCCAATTTCCCGCTGACTTGCTTTCGCAACATTTCACATGTTCGTCGTATTTTTTTTTTTGTTTTTTTTTGTCATATATATTCATGTACGCGCAAAATTGATCATCCGCTAATTTTCTGTCTCTCATCAGTCATATTATCCTGGCTTTCAATCGTTTTCGCAAGATTAATAGTCACAAGCAAAAATACGAGATCAAAAAAAACGAGAGAAACGTGAACGAAAAAAAATTTTACTACTTATGAATTGCATTTTGTAATGGTCGTTCTTTTATTCAGACGAGAAGAGCGTCGGAAGAATACGTGCCATTGAAATTGATCGATCGTGTCACTTTATTATCAATCACAACCGTGATAGCACTTCCGGACCGGTTTCCATTTTCACTCGTGTGAAATCACCCCGCCCCCGTTGCTTCCGATGCTTCTTGCATCCCATATCCAGACACGTACGTCTTCCCCTTTCTCTGTGTCTCGATTCTTCTTCGTTCTTGTCGACATGTCCGGAACAGGTGACCAGACGATCTATATAAACGCTCCCGCGCAGTAAGACCCCTTGATAAATGCTGGTCACTTTGCCGAGCGTATGTAATTGCCAATGGATGTATTTCGCTAATCGCGAATTCGAGTCAATATTAATGCGGGTCGGTGTTCAACGAGCAAACTTAGTTTATTGAAATATTCGCACACATATTTCACAAACTGTTAAAAGTGGTTTAATAATTTTTTTTTGCTTTTTTGCAACAAATCATTTTTTTTTTTTTTTTTTTTTTTTTAAGTTAAAATCACTCGCGCGTGTTTTCGGTGAAACACATCACGCTTTACCGCGACACATAATGTATTTATAACGTGCACACTCGAATATGATGTCGGTCTGTAAATTTCATGCGCGCAGCTTTCGAATCTCTCTCCGACTTTGCGGCTTTCTCTGTTATTTCCAACACGATCGTTTGCATTCAACCTTGTCTTTTTTTGCGACTTTGTAATTCAAGAGAAATTTATTGCAAACATATTTGTGTCCTTCCTTCGTAGAAACGCATCTCTTGCGACATATTTTTGCTGCTGCGATCCGCGTGTGTTTGCTGTATCTGTTCGAGAATAATACCGTGAAGTTTCTAGCCTTCCTTTATGCGGCTTCGAGTTTCACTCGGATGCACTTTCCTTGTACACCGTACAATTCCGAAAAACGTGTGTACATATATATATATATATATATATGTATATATGTGTACATATATACTGCTATATGTACATGTACACCGCTATGTACGAGGAAAACGCAAGAACACATCGAACTGCGTCTTGTAATATCTTGTTTGTTAACATGGCGAATAATCGCACAAGGCTGATGTAGTTCTCGCTACAGAGAAGCTGTTTTGCAAACGCGAGAGATATTCAAGAAATAAACAGGATTTTGTTGTGTAACATATGAATTTATTTACGCTCTAACAAAATAAATTATGAATAAATAAAATAATGAACAAATACGCGTTATTTCGTCGCGTAGCAACGCGGTTAATGTCACCGGAAAAAACAATATTTGCTTTTTGCTCCGTACACATAATACACGCACACAAACACACACGCATTTGCACAAAACTCGAGTTCTCGGGAGTCAGTGGAAAAACTAAACGTCTCGATAACACATACTTATGTCGATATAAACGCGCGCAACTACTACTATATACGCTTACTTCGCGCAAAACACACGCAAGAACTTACGTTCCGCCGGCAACGCAAAACTTGCGGGCAACTTTCGCGAACTCTCTCCTCCTCTCTCTCTCTTTCTCTCTCTCGCGGATCCCCGGTAAAAATTTACACAACGCCCGTTGCTTCCGCCCGAGGATTTCGCGAGAATTAGAGAGAAGTGCTTTTAGTTTCTCCGCGGTGGTGAAACAAATGTCGCTTCTTTAAGCAGCTCCCCCGTCTGTATACGTAAGAATATCGGCGAGAAGCAATTCATCGGAATACGAAAAAGGAAAGGGGCGAAGGAGAGAAAAAGCTGTGTACGCGCTGCATTCGGGAAGAGAGAAAACCGAATGGCATTTGACTTGCTTCGTCTCGTCGAGGGCGACAAATAAAAATCTCCATTGTATATATACTATATATATACGTGTACATATATATATATATCTCGACCACCGTCGAGAAAGCACTGTCGACGCACACACACACACACACAGACGCGCACACAAGCCGCGCGACATTATACATGTTGCAATGTGGCATCGTCGATATAATTACGTATGCGTACATCATACCTGGCAATTTGTAATGTGGTGTATAATACGATGATAAATCATTTCTGCCGTAGACCGCACTCATACATAAACATATTTAACCCTCAACACTAACGCACGGACGTTAAACACTCGATTAACGTGCAAGTACATACGGCATCGTCCGGGTGGTTCGTTTAACGACGTCATTAATTACACCGTTTCATTATCAAAATTCATCGTTAATGATTCGACATCATCATCGTCGTCATCATCGTCACGTTCAGTGTATAATTACGTTTAACTGGCGTAATCTCGACTATCCGGAGAACGACGTTTCTCGCCGTGTACCCGCGGCATTTCGCTCGTATATAAGACGAGAGCGTTATGCTGCCGGGTGACACAACCGGGTGAATTTATTTCCCGTCGTGAAACTGTGACAAGAAAAGACGTCGTGAGTCGTGCGGAAGTGTTGCTCAGGCGCGATCGTTCGCGTTCGAACTCTATCTCGAAACTTTGTTCGCAGGTGACGAGGAATTGCTAACGAAAAGAGCAGGCGAGTGCATCCTACCTGGCGCCTGTCCCGCACCGTGTACGTGCAACGGCGCAACGATCGATTGTTCCAACAAGAGATTAACCGCGATACCGAAAGATCTGCCGCTGTACACATCGACTTTGTGAGTACATACACTTATCTCGTTGTGTTAAATTTTGCGCGCGAAGAAAATCGGAGAAAATTTAAGCGACATGGCGTTGAGAAAAATTTGACACGGTGTTCTAACGATATTTCGCGTTGTCGTTGACATCGCGACAAACTCGCACGACCGAGCCAAAATGAGAAAATTGAAGACGAACTCAATTTATGTCATACAGGATATAGCGCAGCATCCGCAGTATATTTGCGGTTATGTGTTTGTCACGCCGAACACTTGCACCGCGAACATTTTTAGTGCCTCCCGAAATACTGCGTGACATCGCGCCGATGAAGAGATGGTCGGATGGTCTAAAATAAGGAGATAATATTCCCGCGAAATATTTCGTTTATTTTCGGGTCTCCCGATATCCGGGCGGTTCGAGTGTAATGGCAAGAGTGTCGGCGCAGCCGAAACGAGTCTCTCGCGATTATGAAATGAAATTGAAATAAAGCAACCACGATAAATAATGATAATATATATAATTACACGCCGCGTTTGATAATTTCGTTTGATAATGGTTAATAATAATTACACGCTAAGAGTATTTTTAATAAATACGTATAGGCATAATTTGCATATTGAATCTAGTAAAGCATTGCGGTCTCGATAAGTGTAGGTAAATCTACATATATAATAGTCATATTTAAACGCATAGTAGATAGAACGTAATAAGCCGTAATATCATTAGCCGCGTTAAGGACTGGAATTATGAAAACAATTAATATTAACATTAAATGAAACGGTCAGCGTAAGCCGCGAATGGTTAACAATTAGCGTTTTAAGCGCGTACATACTAATTATAACATTTTAATATTAATTATAACATTTGCTTGGTTGACGTAAAAGATAGACAAATGTTTCGTGAACGTGTACGCAACTGTATATTGTTGTTGCGCATTTCCGATTCGCAACATTTCAAGATTATATCTTGCCGGAGACAACATGGATTTCGAACTGCCGTTACTTTTGTTTTTTTCTTTTACGAGAAAGTGTTCACTTTGGATTATTAAGTATCGATTGATCGGTCGAGACGAGAGAGTTCGGTCGAATGGTTAGGATGAATATCACTCGTCTATAGAGAATCTCTCGTCGCGCTCAGCTCGAATATTAATTCGATCGTCGAACCAGATAATCACCTGATTAAATCGCGGAATGCAATGGGAAAAGAACAATGAAAGATCGGACTATTATTCGCAGTAAATTACGCATTCGGTCCGTTTATCGAGATGTCGGTGCTTTGGAAAATAATTAATTTCTCGATGCCATTTAATCGATAATCTCGGTAATAATACCGTAATTTCGATAAAAATAGGCATTTCTTTTCTTAAATAAATCTGTTTATTTACGTACTAGTTAATTTTTTACTTAAATAATGCTTTGCCACGCAAGCTTGATTTTATTTACGACATATCAAATCGTTCCGTTCAAACTATCTCGAAACTTTACAAGAGTAGAAAAAAAAGTAGAATAAAAAACAAAACAAAAAAAAATGAAACAAATCGGTTTCGTCGGTAATAAAAAAATTGTTATATAGAAATTAGATTTATTATTTTATTTTTCATGCGCGAGAGAGGCGCATGGTATTTTGTGCATACATTCCGATATTCTAAGTTAATAGCTTCGGTTAAACGTTAGAGCGTATTAATTACAGACGGAGCAAAACAATCAACTGTCGAGTTACACTCTCTTCGTAGGAAAATTCTGCAACGCGCCAATTTACTTTCGCGTGGAGTTATATTCCAGCGTGTAATTTGCAAAAATTTATTGGACGGTGCATTGTTATAACACGGTGGCGAATAAATTGCTCGGCGGATAGTCGAAAACAAGTGATGAAGTAACGAGAACGGGAAACACCAATTTTGTTCTCTTTTTTTTTTTTTTTGTTTTTTGTTGACCGTTTGACTAACGAACTAACGATACGTGTGCGCCGCAAAACGCGCATGAGAATTCGACACGATGATGCTCTTCGCACTACTCACCGACTTTGTTTCCATATCATGACATTCTTTTCCGTTTGCTCGCGCGCGACACACAGACTATTGGGCAACAACGAACTGGACAAGATCAAAGCGGACGGCCTCTTCGAGAAGTTACCGGAGCTGCAGCATCTGGATCTGCGGAAAAATAAGATTTCCCGCATCGAGGCATCCGCTTTTCAAGGGGCTCACAATCTCACCGACCTGTAAGTCAACGCGGGACCCGAAATTATACCGCGCTTTCGTGTACACAATTTGTTTCTTCTTTGCGTCGTCGTTGTCGTCGTTGTCTTTCCGGAAAACTACGCCTTTGCTCGGCACAATGGATGCCGGTTTCCTCTCTCTCTCTCAGTACCGTTGTGTAACGTCAGAATTGTTTTCTTTGCGCGGCTTTCTGGAGTCGATATTTCCAAGTTTATGGAAAACGTTTCTTGGGGAATTTTCGAAGACTATATATATTGTCTCCTAGGACAATTGTTATAAAACAATGTCGGAAGTTTTCCGTGAGAGACGCTCGAGTGACATCGAATTGAGTAAAAGTTGTACAACACGCAACTTTGTTCGAATATTTATTTTCAGCAATTACTTTGCTCTTCTCCGCGTATTAATTATTATTAGAAATAATAACGTCGCATTCGCGCGGACGTTATTATGTTTCTGCAATTTAAGAACTGGAATAACAGCATTAAACCACCGCGTTGTACTGTTTTCGAAATGCATGCTTTCGTGTTGTTTCGTTTGTGTTTGCAACGCTCGTTGACTCGAAGAACGGACATTTATCGACTCGTAAAAAGCGACGGCAAATTGTAACACGGCGCGACCTGAATCTCTTGTCGCGCTTTCTTGTCATTTTGTCGCCGCGGACTCGTTTCGCGAAGTGACGAGCTTTCTTTTCGCAGGCTTTTGTCCGAGAATAGGCTGCGAGAAGTGCACAACAAGATGTTCACCGGTTTGTCGAGCCTCAAAACACTGTAAGTACCTCGTTCGAACAATCTTTATGCGTCTTCTCGTTTGACGATACGATACTCGCACAAAATGATGACTCGCGTAATTCATTCTCTGCGCAGGAATCTTCACGGTAATTCCATCACGTGCGTTATGCCGGGATCTTTTGACGAGATGCCACATATACGCGCCATGTAAGTTTGCAATAACAAAATACCATATCTGCATTAATGATTCAAAAAATTTTCAATCCGTCGGCTGTAATTTGTATATTACTGTTGCTCCTGATTTATTATTGTTATCATAAGCCAATAATCGTTTGATATATTTTTTGCTATCTCCAGCAACATGCAAGGTAATCCGCTATCGTGCAACTGCTATCTCGCGTGGTTCGCCGGATGGCTGAGAAAACGAGATATAGCTGGAATCACTGGTCGTTGTCACGATCCGCCGCGATTAAAGGACGCCGTCATCAAGGACATTCCGCATCACGAGTTCAAGTGCAACAGTGCGTATTCCGCATTTGTCGCGTTATTGTACAATTGCTCTTGAATAATCAAATTCGCGGATAAGTACATCTACTTTCGCGTTATTTTATTTTTAGTTGTCATCGATTGTCTTGAATTTTGAAATTACGAATATTTCACGAAATCGATGCACGAGCATCTCGCATGCAAATCGGCTCGTGCAAACATCGTGCCAAAAACTCTTCAATGTAACAAGTTAATTAAATTTTGAATTTATATTATCCGTGTTTGTGTATAACTCTTTGATTGACGTATTATCCGGTCGCGAAGGAATTTCGCGGCTGCTAATTCAGTTGCGCGTCTTTCTATTCGCCTCGATAAAACATTTATTCAATAAAAGCAATTTGAATTGCAAATCCCGTTAACGATCCTACAACCAACAACTATTTTACGCCCATCAGACGACAGCGTGGGTTGCCTAGGCGACGATTATTGCCCGCCTCAATGTAATTGCGCGGGCTCGGTGGTGAGATGCTCGAGGTCTCAACTTACAGAGATTCCGCGCGGGATTCCACCGGAAACCACCGAGCTGTATTTGGACGTGAACGACATCAAGACGATCCAACCGGAGAGGCTGAACCACCTGAGGATTCTCACCAAACTGTAAATAAAACACACGCGTCCTGTGCACCTTGCCGTATATCTTTCGAGCGCTTACCTTTCGCCATATTTAACGTCCGTTCCGTTTTCAGGGATCTGAGCAACAACCAGATCGGAATGCTGTCCAACGATACCTTCAGGAATCTCACGAAGCTGTCGCACTTGTAAGTCGAATTATTTCCTTCGCCGGGAGAATTCTCGAGGCGAAGATAAGCGAAGGTGACTTCGCGTGTGCGAAATTTACGATGTACAAATCTCTTTTTCCAGACTCATCAGTTACAACAAGCTTCAGTGCGTGCAACGGAATGCCCTCGCGGGATTGAAAAATCTTCGAATAATGTGAGTCACGTGTGCGAATAATAAAAATATTTAAGGTTGTAAATTTTTTTAGACAAATTTTTAAAATAAAGAAATTGATAACAATTTTTAATTTTAGATTATATAAAAATATAAATTTTGAATTTAAACTCATAGCAGTTGACAACTTTAACAAAACAAAATTTTGCAACATTATAGGTGTCATATTGTTTGATATCTTACGAGATTTTCTAGTCGTCAAAAATAAATAAATAACATATAAATAATTTTGTAACAATTCAACGGTGATATTTTAGACGACAATTTAACACGACAATTTAATTTTTCTTTTCCCCAGCTCGTTGCACGGTAACGACATATCGGTCATCCCGGAGGGAGCATTCGAGGATCTCAAGTCTATAACGCATCTGTAAGTATTCGTTCCCGTTCGTAAACCGCACACACTCGATTTTCGATACCGACCATTTATCGATCACGATATATTTACAGCGCCCTGGGGTCTAACCCGCTTTACTGCGACTGCAGCATGCGGTGGTTGGCCGAGTACGTGAAGAAAGATTACGTGGAACCTGGCATCGCGAGGTGCATAGAACCACCCACGATGAGAGACAAATTGCTCTTGACGACACCGGCTAGTGCCTTCCAGTGCAAAAGTAAATATCTTACAATCGCATATATTTCCGATTGCGAGAGCAGAAGTGGCCAAGTGACATTTCCGTACAAACGGAGTTAACTGCCGTTCAAATGGGCAGCGATAATAATCATTGTTGATACAAAGGAACATAAAAAGTGATCATATTTGCCACTTTCCGTTTGTTTGGATGTTCAACGATGTTCCTTAATGTCGCTTAGTGGAATATTTACCATTGGAAACTATAAATGGCGCGGATCATTATCCGCGGCCTGGTAACGACTCGGCTGTAAAACGGGCCATTAAACATCGATTTTCCATTAGACGTAAAAAGTACAAGATTTTCCATTCTGTTTAACGACGCTCAGGTATTTCGATGCACTTTCGTAACCACTCGTAAAAGGAAAGCGATCGCGAGCGGGCAGAAGCCCTCTCTTTTAATGATACTTGGCCATTACTGATCCATCGCGATCGCGAGCTGATTGTCGCACGCGGATGGTGTTTTTCATTTTTCGTAGTCACAGCGCGACGCAGTCTGTTTAGTTTCGTGGTTTTTTGGCCCAGCATCACGGTAAGGTACTAAAATTGCTCATTAATCGTAGACCTTTCTTCCGCGCAGCCAAGCAACAGCCAGCCGAGGTCTTGGCCAAGTGCGACCTGTGTTACACCTCGCCATGCGAAAACGGAGGATTTTGCGAGGCGCTTCCGGACCGGCAGTTCCGTTGCAAGTGCGCGCCAGGATATCACGGGGACCGGTGTCAGCATAAAATTGACGCGTGCTATGGAAATCCTTGCCGGAACTCCGGAACTTGCAAAGTACTGGAGGAAGGAAGATTCAGGTACTTGCCAAATGCGACGGTTCCCGACCTTGATCATAAGAGTAGTAGTGGCTCGTCTGGGCTGACTTTAGAGAGTTGCTCGTTCAGTACCCGTAGAACGTTTGCGACAGCTGTACCGTATCCAGACGAAAACTTACTTCGAGGTGTGCGCGTGGTGTCTTGTAGCTTTCCCCTTTTCCCCATATTTCTCTCTCTCTCTCTCTCTCTTTCTCTCTCTCCCTCTCGCGTTAGCTTCAAGTCAGCTTGAAGCTTCGCGGATTTTCTTCTATAACAACACAGAAAGTTATATCGTAACGTAAAATTTTCACGAATACATAGTCAAACGTTTTAAATTATAACATTGGTATATGATATTGTAAAAATGCACAATTTGTGAAAATAGCGAACAACATTTCGGTAAAACAGTCTTGTAGATATTAGTGTTGGTAGAACCTGCACTTAATCGAAATTTGTGTCGTGTATGTCAAGTAGTTTTCTGAAACGTGACATAGGTACACACACAAGTCGTCTGGACGCATTAAAGTAGATATAAATATGCACGATATGAAGGATGCTTGCATAGACAACTAGAATGTTGTATCTCAAAGCTTGAATTTGACTTGATGGACAAATAGTATAAAAGAATCTCGTTTCGCAGTCGGGTGTGCTATTTTGATAACTTCGGCGCCGTGCGCTGCCTAAAGTGGCGCTCGGAGGCCGAAACCCGATCGAAGCGTTCGTCAAATTCCAGCTTTCAACACGCGTAATAAACGGGACCCTCTGCACGTGAGCCCCGAGGAGTGACGACTGCAGGCTATAAACTGCCGACGGCGCTGTCAATAACCTGCTCATAACAGAAAGGCCGTTGCGATTATCGAAAAATCGAAGAACCGAACTCACGCCGTCTGCTATATTTATATTGAGAGCATGTTTACATTGAATCGACGTAAATATATTATTATATTATCTGAAATCTTAACGTTGTTTTTTAACAAAATAAAGAAGAAGTACATACTTTTATGTGAAAAAAATTTGAAATAAAATTTAGCTTCGCTTATCTTTGCTTATTTATCTTCAATTGTCGAAAACTAAATAATTAAAAAAAAAAAAAAAAAAGAAATAAGCGGCGTTGGCGGTTCATTGCCCATGATAGGATACGTGTGGCGAATCTAGCGTGATTGCATGTCGGGCTCAATGTCTCGATTGACGTTCAGTCGGTGTGTGATAGTTGCGACTGCGCCCCCGGGTACAAGGGACTACGATGCGAGAGCAACGTCGACGACTGTGCCAACAACAGGTGCGCTAACAACGCGACCTGCGTCGACCTCATACAGGCCTATCGATGCGACTGCGCCGCAGGATTCATGGGAGAATACTGCGAGGAGAAGATACCCTTTTGCACAAAGGGGCACGACCCCTGCGAGAACGGTGGCCGATGCGTCGACCACAAGACCCACTACAGCTGCGAATGCCCGGTCGGCTTCACCGGCCTCAATTGTTCCACAAATTTGGATGACTGCGTCGATCATATGTGCCAGGTACGTGTGTCAAGTCCAATATATATATATATATGTATACACTATATCGTTAACTGCATCCGATCGAACCGCATTGATCGATGCGCGATTTATTCGAAATCGCGAGCTAACGAAATCGCTTCGCGGACACGAGTCTCATTTTCTGATCTTGTCGCGTGTAAACGGAACTACTGTACGTAGCGAGACATACAATACATAGATAAACTTGCAGTAAAACGCGCTTTGTCGGAGTAACGGTATCGATTGGGTTGTTATAGATTTTGTGCCCCTCTTCGCCGAGCAGCGAGTGGCAACTAAAGTATGTGATTCCGTGCGCTGGTCGGTTGTAAACTTTTTGCTTTAAGATAACGAGCGGCAAGTCAGCAAAATAAATGTTGCATTAGCCGATATGTTTCTGTTAAAGTCTAATGGCTGTCACGAAATGTCACGAGCATTGTAGGTTTCGAGAACTCTGCTACTTTCGCAACATTATTCTCTCGGCATCGTGTTGTATGTAACAAGTAAAATATTAAATAAATTTCTTTCTCTAAATTTTTCAGTAACTTCTCTTGTAAATATGCAATACAAATCGCGATGTAAAAATTTTCATAATACAATTCTCGAATTCTTCTAACGTTCGCAAGTACGCAACACCTGCGGTATTGTTGTGTTGAGTGTAAAATTCATTAAAATAAGTAATTACCGTTACCGTAGAAATCGCGTGTACGACTGCACTTATCTCTACACGAGGTCGATGATATCTGTTTCATTTACAGCATATCGTACAAATTTATTTCCTCATATCGCTAACGTTCGCGACAATCGCAATTAATTTCTCGGTAGCGCGCACTATCAGTTCCCTTTCTCGTTCGCAAAGCGACCGTAATAATAGCGTTCTCTGCGTTATTTTCCAGAATGTCCTAATGTTTCTCTGATAACATATTTTAGAATTGTTTTAGAATTATCACAATTGTGTGTGGTGTGCGTTATTTTTTTTTCAACACACACAAGAATGACGTTCTTCCTTCGCGTATCAGACAACATTTCTCGCGAGCAAAATTATTTAACACAATGTATATACATATATGTATGTATAATTATGTATTATGTATATTTAATTCAATACAGTATCAACACAAAAACTCAAACAAAGACAAAGCTACGCTCTCGACTTTCATCAGAACGAAACTTTTATTTGACTATCGACTTTTTAAACAGAACCTCTATCCGCCAGGATGTGATCTCTTCCGACAGAAAGAAACTTTAACTCAAGATCTACGACCCGGCGAGTAAAGTTAGCGTATGAAATTTTACGCGAAAGTTCTTCCTCGCGGTATTATAACGCCGGCCAAATTTCATCCGAGTGTTTGCGCGGTTTTGGGGTAGCGGAAGCCCGTGTGGAGTTTTCGGCTTTGTG